AAATATGATTGGTAAAAATTTCAATGGAAAAGAACTCATCAAATGATTTTAGATATTAAAATTAGACGCTAAACTATTCAGCGGACGCAGAAGTACCACATTAGAATGATAACAATAAGAACAGGTCTATTACTACTGAATTTTTTTTTCACAATACTTTACAATACTTTTTACAGTAGTTTGTTTTTTTTTTTTTTTTTTTTTACAATTCTTACGTGCGAGTGCTAATATTTGCTATTGAAAGTTACTGAAACTGCCACTATACTAGACATTTGAATAGTTTTAAAATACTATTCAAGGTCAACTAAATAGCAAGCCATCGTTACACTGTAAATATTGAGAACAGAATTGAGTTTCAGTCAAACTGAATTGTCGATATAATATGATAAACAAGGTAACGAATAAGCTGAACGATCTGAGATGAATAAATAATATTTCCCAAATTGAACAAATAATATACCATGCATAATGAGTACTTTACAATCACAGTGTAAGTGAAACCGTTACCGAATAAAAAAAGTCCAAAATTACCAAATAAATTCATCAGTAATATTACAATATAAGAAATAACTACAGGTAAAGTAACTGAATACTGAAAAATGATTGTGAATTTACTTAAATCTTTCATATTGATATAGTGGAGGAAGGTATAATTTATTCATTATTTGCAACTCCTGTTGAAGCTTTATATCCCTTTTCTCCACTTTTTTGCGACATCTTCAGTTATATTTAGTGGATACAAAGTATTATTTATGTGACTGGCTTATTGGTCTGAACAATAAATTTCAAGATTTAAACTTTGGTCATGCCATTTTTATAAGGCATTACAAACCATTTCGTGGTGAATGATTTTTATTTTTTTTTAATTCTTTTTATTATTTTAAGAGAAAAAACATTTCTGATTGAATTAATTTAGGAAATTCACATATTTTAAGTGTTAAAAAAATACAGAAAAAAGGAATATATGAGCTGGGCAATCAATTATGGGTAAATCAACAATACACAAAAATTCAGTCATCAAAGAATTAGTTAGAATTGAAATTAATACTTTTTTTACAGAAATCTAAAGATAGGAAGTTATAGAAAGATGAAAGAAGACAAAAACAGTAAGAAGGATGGCGTGTATGAAATTAAAACATGAAATCAATTTTTAAATAACTGTTGTTGAAAATTCCTGGGTAGAAAAGGATCTGACTGAATCAGGCACAACATTAAAACTGTGAAACACTGTTAGCTGATAAATTCCTGTGAGAGTAAAGTTAATGGGTAAAATGAGCAATTTGCATGCTGAAATCCCTGAATTCTTATTCTTAATCAACAAATGCCTGTGATCCTCCTGATAAAATCTTGTTTTAACGAAATTATCTACTAAATATGATTTTGTGTAATTAGATGATGAATAATTCAGCGTTGTGTAATTAGATGATGAATAATTCAGCAGATTGCTACTGGTGAATCTTTCCGGAAAAAGAATTTGTAATTATCAACACCATATTACAATTGTAAAGATACCTGATGTGTAGTAAATGAAAAAGAAATTCATGTGCAGTATGTCTGATTGTGTTTTTTCTTTGAGACAGTACTTACGTTACTGTGAATTTGGATTTGATAGACAGAAAATACTTCGACTGTTTCATAGATTACTTTACAGCAAATGAATAAAATGTCATAAATACAACTAATACAATTAATATTTTAATCTAAACCATTCCCGGTCTGAAATGATTTCACATAGATTTGAGTTGATCTCTGTTATCATGACGAGCATTTGAGATCAATGTGATACAGAATGTGGTAATGTGGTATGGTATAGAAACAGAATGATCAAAGGAGTGAAGTTAGAAATAGTCAGAAACTTTTTTGAGCAAAGAACAATTGGAAGGGATTGACAAAATTGAGATATCTATATTCAAGTGTACTTTCCATTTTACCTGGTAGATAGATTTTTAACATAAATTTTTGATGTACTTTTACCATATTACAAGCAGGAATCGACGAAATAAAGTTTTGGCTACTGTTTCGCCTGCCTGATTCACACAGCTTTTTGAATTCTGATAAAATCATTATATCGGAGAAGTGTGCTCAAAAAACTAACATGTATGTTAATGGGTTATGAATTTTTGTCTTGGCTGCTGCTTTATTCAATTTATTTCCCATCAGTCGATTGTAAATTATCATTTCTGTACTATCTTAAACTTCTCAGTTTGCATACAAAAAATGAAATTTAAAAAATTTTTTCTGAAATTTTTTTTTTTCGAAAATGCATTGATTGTCATAATGTCTATTATGATTAATATAAAAAAAAAAAAAAAATTGAAACTCATATTTTGTAAGCGCTCAATAGCATACTGAAAATTTTTCGTCTACAGTGACAAACTATTATAAAGGAGAATCACAAAATAGGCAATGCAGTAATCTCTTATTAATGTATAGGTTCTCCTTTCAAAATCAACTCAAACGGTTTTAGACTGACTATAATCTTTCATATTAACATTTAAAAAAAGATCTCCTTTCAAAATCAACTCAAACGGTACTGACTATAATATTTTCCTGAGCTCCACGAGCTATATAAACCATATCTGGCTTTGTAAACCAGTATAAAGAAAATGACAAAATCAAGTATCATTTTTGGTTGGAAAAACGACGTCGACCTCTTTGATCTAATTTAATTCTTGTATTAAAATCAAGAGAATCAAAATAATCCGACAGTAATAACATTCACGGGGAACATAAGAAAATTCATGCATTTTCAAGAATTTTTCGTGGTTCTACTTGTAATCATCATGTCGACAAAATATATTATCACCCACGCTTCCTACATCAATGAAAATCGTAACCCACATATCTGAGTATATATCTGTATAACTGAGTATACCGGTTATATATATTCAGCAAAGTCCTCCACTTTCATCTAAGATCTTGCAACCTGATTTAAAATGCCAGTTTATCTTATGTCATTAATTTCAAAACAAAAATCGAAATCCGAAATCATGAAAAATCCATATGAACAAAATATTTCTTAAACATACAGATAAAATAAGCCCACTAAAAAAAATTTACTGAAAGTTGACTACGAATAACAAGAGATAATATCAATCATACATAGCTAAGTCTCCAAAGGCTAAGAATCCACACTTATGTAGTATTATCGAGTCTTCCATTCCCGTAAATCACAAGAAGTTCACGGAATGCTTCAAAAAAGTTCAATTAGCTCAAAACATGCCTGCAGAGACGAAAAAAAATCGTTTACAAAAAATAGAAAACAAAAACATTTCGAACAGTCATGATATTCGACAATTTTGATTTGTCAGTATACTACGCTGATATATTCCCTACTTATTAGACTCCCAGGCAAAAACAGACAGGATGTGAAAATCGTATAAAAACTTAACAAATTTCTTTTTCGCTTTCGCGGTAAAAGTTCCAAAAACGCATTGCGATCGAAATGTTTCTCAAAGAACTCCCAATCGAAAAAAACATCAAGAAAAAGTGGTTGCTATGAAACGCTTGTCAAAATCATCCAAATTTCTAAATATGCTATCAAAGTTAAAAGTCGATTGAGAATTCTTCTCAGTTCGGAAATTATTAATGACAACATGTACAATAAAAAACTAAAAAATGAGAACAAAAAGAAAAAATCACCAACACGCTATGCAGAAGCTATACAAGTGAAAACTTTGTACAAACACATACAAGAATTCATTATTAATTAAACAAACTAATAAAACTCCAACCCTACTGAAGACTGAAAGCATTAAAAGCATAAAAAATTTCAAAAATTGGGTAATTTCTTCACAAAAATCCATCTCAATCAGGGTAAGCAGTATTCATTAACAAGAAACAGACTTTTCACCTAGTCCATTCACTGCTACAGCATCCACAAGTTATTATGAACCGGAAGTGTAATCAATAGCGTTGAAGATAAGCCATTGTGTCTAACCTCTATAGTCTAAATCTAGCAGAATATAGTTATAATGCTGATGAATTGCATTTCATTCTGAAGGCATTAAACTGAATATTTCACTCAATTACTAATCCATTCTAATTTGTACAGATATATCGAAATCTTACAACTATATCAGAACTTTGGAACCTTAAAACTCGAACATTTCCTGTTATGGCTCTACTGCAACTAGCAGTATCAATTAATTAACTTCCGATCAGCTATAATTAAACAAACTAAATCTCATTTCATATTCAAATAAGCTGTGGTGCTACTTTGTCTCTGTATCCATATAGCAGATGAGGTGACAAATAGAATAGTTGTTACCTATGACAGTGAAACTTGCATGAGTCAGGAACTGAAGAAACACTCTTATTGTTCCCAGCATTTAGTTTGCCTCTTTTACCATTTTCTCAAAAAGCTTCTAACAATTTTTGAAAAGAAACAGATTTTGTTCAAATTAGAAAAAATTACTACTACTAAAGCCTATATAAAAAACGTCTTTCTAATGCCTCACAAATTCTACGTGCTTTTATCCGAGTGCTTTACATAATTAACTAAAGCAGGAAATAACAACGATACCGATATGAGAGGGAAAACATATATTTGGAAAATTTTAACAGCCTTGTGTATAACGAAACCAAAAATGCGGAAAAAAAAACCTCGACAACTTCTAAAATATCAGATTTACACGACCGAGAAAGCTGATAAATGAATGAGCGCAAAACGAATTTTCAGTGATATTATGTAAAATTTTTCATAAGACCCAAAAATCAATATCTCTGAATTCTCTTCAGTACCCTATCTTTGAATTTCTTCAGCGTGACTAGCACAAAATTATTTAGACAGCAAAATATGCCTTTTTGCTAAATTAAAAAAAAGGAATTCATTAGCAGCATAAAAAGAGATCTGCAATATCACAATGCAGTATAGTAGTACACTACCAAGTACTAAGCAGTGATTTTCAAATAAAATAGAATTGTGCTGTACTCAATATTTTCAGCATCCATTGACTCAGAACAGACCTAAAAACTACTGAATCAATAAAGTGAAAAATTTAATGTGAGTTAGCGGCAGCATTCGAAGTTGGATTTTCTCGCTGTTCTACTTTCACTATTATCATTTTATTACCAAAAGACATCACTGGGTGCAATCGCTGCTGCTCGACAGTATCCTATAAAAATTTCTCATTATTATAATTATAGAAAATTAAACTTGAAGTTCACTTTTTTGAGTAAGATATTTCACACTAAAACTAAACAGTTCCGTAATGATCAACGTTATAACCCACAGAGTTGTGCTCAAACACTGACAGGGAAGTATATAAGCCGACAGACACGACATGGATTCTTAACCACATACAATAGAGCGAAGCACGATGCATATCATGAAGTAAGGAAAAATCCTTGTAATAAATTTCTTCAGGTTCGTAATTTAGTACACGTAATTGTTTACTGGGTATAAAGACTTGAAGTAAAGCATTATTATCAGTGAAAACCAAACCACAATAAACCAATTTTAACTAATTTCAGAACTTACACATTCAGATTCCGCTGTTACCGGAACTGACACCAAGAAAACACTTTCATCTTTATCATTCACAGTTTTAACGGCTTGCATACTTGTGTTAGGGTCCGGGTTCAACTGTGCTTCATCATCTGGGAGTTCGCTTGCTAACAACTCATCTGCTGTAGCAATTTGCCTCGAATCTATTGAAAGGGAGTGGTCGTTTGACAATCGGATCATCTGAAATTATACGCGTTGGTGACAAAATTGATGACTGCTTAATAAAAAAAGGATTACGACAGCCATTACGGTTATAGGCGCATTGTCAACATCACTCCCCTATTCTATAGGCCATCAGTTATAATCACGAAAAAACCAAATAAAACTTTTTGCGGTTAAATACTTTATGATCACAAAAATTTTTTTTTCGGAAATTGATTTCAAGTGACAGAATGCTTCCTATTGTCTTCAGCAAAAATAATTAGTTTTGCAAAAGAGCTTAATTATACACCAGTTGTCCTCTATATTCAAAGATTTGAAACAATCAAAACACGATGAATTTAAAAAAAAAAAAAAAAAACCAAAAGAATACGACGAGACTAATACCTTATATTCCGGTGCCTGATCTTCATAATCTATTCTTGAGTTATTGTCCTCTATTCCAACACTGCTGTCTATTTCACCAATACGAAATTTTAAATTTTTTTCATCAGAATAAGTGCCCTTTAAAAACATGATAAAATTTCAAATATAAACGCCGGAAAAATAAAATACCAATAAAATACTCATTCATGCAGTAGAACTTGATAACGAACTAAATGCTATTTCAATATCGCCTTTTAAATTTCCCTGCTCATTATCAGTTCCACAAACTAGTACAAGTTTCTAAAACGTATACTCCTTTACAAGTAACCTCATCGTAGCGCCGTGCATACTCAGCTGCTTCTTCAACAACTTGTGCGACCGTAGTTTCGATTCGTGAACTACTTGTGACAGACGAATTCTCGCCATCACTACGTGAAATATGGCGATTACCACGTGCTTTATTCGGATTTCGATGTTGTGGCGGTGATTCAGGAGGTGGTGTAATTGGTCGTACCTATTTCAAATTTTTCAAGTAATTTCTGCATTTTGAAAAAAATTTGCTTAGACCAAAATCTGACAATTAGAGCACATTTTCATAGAACAAATATCTGAAGAAATGATAAAATGTGATTTTCTTTTCGAAAAATTCAATAACAGACTTGTTGATAGGGTGCTGGAGCATCACCCATTAACGGACCACTTCTGGATCTTCGTCGAGCATTCATAAAAAAATTCGCTACTGTCGAGAGATCCAGCTGCAGATGTTCTGCAATTGTTTGCTGCATTTCACGACTTGGACGTTGTGTTTCTTTAAATATAGCCTGCAAAATTTATATATCTGCCACTGAATCCACTGAAATCGTAAACTATATATGTATATATTACCTGCAGAGTTCTTTTCTGGATATCGGTAAAAACCAGTCGAGGCCTTTTGGTACTACTCAAGCCTGAAACGAAAAATATCCAAGAAAATAAGACGGAAAGACAACTTAAATTCGAGTAAAATCAAAATTTTATAAAAAGAAAAAAGAACATTCAAATGACAATAAAAAAAAAAGCCCATTTTAGAACAGTAACAATAAAGAAGCATATTTTAGAACAAATCCAAAATTTAGTAATTTTATGAAAATTCACCATCGCCATCTCGACCTTTATGTCGTGAACCTTGTCGAGCATTCTGTGCTGGAGTAGGTGGACTCATCGAAGACGGTAACATACCCCCTGAAACAAATGCCCAAACGCCGAATCTTGTAATAGAAACATTGCAAAGATGAACCATAATTTTCATTATGTCAAATATTGAAATAAAATAATGCATCCAGAATGTCTTACCTTTTCCTTTGTACATATCAAGAATACCCAATCGCAGTTCAAGTGGTTGTTGTACCCAGTTAAACATTCGTCTAAATGTCTCTCTTCCTGACTTTAATTTGTTCCAAGGCTTTGGATTTCTCAGCAAATCAGAAAGTGTTCCTTGACTCCTAATCAGAAAACTTAATTATAAAGCAAAAATTTATACTGATAATCATGATAAATTCTTAGCTGAGGTATAAAGGAAATCAGGCAAAAGTCCTATTCAACATTGTACTGTTAACACCGTATTATAGTATCTAACACCCTATTTGGCTTCAGTCATGAAACAAAATGGGCACTTATACAAATGACAATGGAAAAATTCTAAAACATCTAAAGTAATTAGTAAAAAAAAAAAAATTACTGATCAAGTTTTTTTATATCATTGAAAGTTTTTCTGTTCTCAATTAACTTTTTTTTTTTCAACTAAAATTGATGAAAAAAGCCAATACCGACAAAGAATCCTTTCAGCAAAGATAGCCTGAGGTATAGAATGCTGCTTAAGTTCCCAAGCAATTCGCTTGCACAAATCAGTCGTATCGATATAAATGTCATCGTCTATTTCTGCATTCAGAGGATCTGTAGCGTCCTTAGTTGAATAACTAGCACGCGGTGCACCTGGAAAGGAGCTTTTGTTTATTCTTGAATTCTCTGACATTTAACAGATACTTCTTTCCGTTTCTTTCGCACGGAATTTAGCAATAAGTAGAAACACTGCTATCTGCATGCAGCAAAGATGAATAACACTTTAGTTCAATGCAAAACCGAGTTCTTTAGTTAGGGCTGTAATGTAACATAGCTCAACAGAAATAAACAGCAACTAGTGACACTACAAAGCCCATTATGAGTACTATTAGTTCTGATTACTATTCAAGGAAATCATGAAATATCTTCACTAACATTTGTGAGTCGGTACTAAACTGAGATTTCAAAACAAACCAAGAAATTAAATTATACACCGACCAACAGTAGAAGTGAGTCTGGTTGTACTTGTCGGTTCACCATTATCATCAGCAAATGTCAAATCATCACCACTTGTTTCTGCCGCATTTACTTCAAGATCTTCGCTGCTACGCAATTCAGTCGTATCCACGGAAGAAAAATTACGTCGACTTTGGCGAAATATAGTGTGTTGTGGTGCTGGTGAACTTGGCGGCTAAAATACATTTTGCTAATCAAACAAAAAACATATGACCTGCTGCAAAGGAGAAAAACACAAAAATGTATGAAAAAAAAAAAAATAACAGGAATGTGCAGTGATTCAAAAAGCAACTCTGGAATCATTTAGCTCAACTGTAATTATCTGAGATATATTTCAACATATCGTGATATCACGATTTAATCAAATGCTTACAAAGTGCTGGATCTATCAAACCATATGTGTCACCATACAGTAAGGTTACAATAGTATGAAAAGCTAAAGGATTTTATATTAACAGATTTTACAGAAGCTAAAAAGCACATCCTTCCAAATTTAACTTGAAATCACTACTAACACGCTTTACAAAGGTAGAGAAAAAGTAACACCTGCTCGCCTATCATTGTTGCAATGAAGGAACTTGCAAGCTCTACATTACTCACTGCCGGAGGAGTTTCAGCATTCGCCAAACGGTGGTCAAGTTCTTGTTGATGATCATCCTGACCCAGCAAATTAGCCTGAAGCATTGTCCCAAAATAAATAACTGTGCAGTAGTAATAAGAAGTATTTATTTAAACTCTACATAAAGTTGCCTTTTTTAGTGAAGCATACCGACTGCTGAGGTTGATGGGACATAAAGGAGGAATCCATCGTTTTGAAATCCTGTCCCAAATCGACCTGAACAAAAAGAATGCTTTTATGAAAATATATAAATAGGTTCTGTCAGTATTTTACGAAAAAAACTTCGACTTTAAGAAAAAGCTTCAACAACTCTAACTTCAGGTGATTATCTAAAACAATGTTAGATCAAATCCTCTCGCCTTTCCCTTTCTTCTCTTCTGCTCATCAAATTTATAGATAAGAAATGCGTACTTCTTCTTTGATGTATGGATGATGTCTTCGTAAACCAGCTAACATTTCACTTGCACGTCCACCATTCTGATGGGCACTCAATAAACTTGAGCAAACAAGACTATCTGGTCGCGCCGTAGTTTGCAACGGAGAAAGAAGACCAGCCGGACCGGAGCTAAAACTGAAATGAATCCTTAAATCATGCACTAAGAAACGCAATTTGAACCATAAATTCATAACGCAATCTGGTAGGCATTAACGTAGATAGAACGAAGTAATATTATACCATACTTTTTAAATGACCATATGCCATATTCATATGACATGTTATTATACCCATATATGACTGAATATTGAGAATAAGTACTTTATGTGCATATGTTTACCACGAAACCACTTAAGATTTAAAAGTCATCATCTCTTTGAATAGATTTTTAATATTGTATTTCATTTAAACTATCGGTCCATAATATTACACGATATCTCCCCAATTTGATTCTACACATTTTTTTTTACATTTATGCACGAATCTTTTTAGTATAAAGAAATACACTCGTCCCTTGAAACAGTATGAGGTTTCAAATTTTGAAAAAAAAACTAAAATTACCTTAGCTTATCTAAACCGGAGGAATGACTGCTGTGTTGCATGGAAGTGCTATGAAGCTGATCTTGCAACGGTTCAATTTTCATTGTACCTACATACGACGGTGTTGCCGACATAGGTGCCAGGGTTGCATAAGCATTGAAATCAGATGATTTCCCGAAACTACAATACATCATTTAACTTTTCTGCCAATGTTAGAAAGTAACAATCTATTCAAGATACTTATGTTTAGCGTTTTTTACCATTAACATGTGCTAAATATTCGGTGGAAAACTTTTTTCTGTAAAGTAATGACATCGAAATATCTATTAACTTAATTAAGAAACCACCTCTCGCCATTTATCTTTATTAAAAATGAAAAGGTCCAAAAAAACAACAAATGTAAAAATCTAGGAAAAAAATGGATCGGAGTAAAAGCCAGAAAACAGGAACTGCAGTGATTCCAGCTAGAACCAAAAATTAAAAAAATTTTTTTTCAAAACTTACTTATCATTTGAACCAAGACTCATAGGTGCCAGTGGTGCAAGCTGTGGACTTTCCTGTGGCGCAGAACTTTGGTTTTGCTGTGGACTTATACTTTCCAAAAAGTTTTCTGGCAACTCTTCGAATGGACGGTTAACGGAGTTAAACGTAATGTTGGGATCAATCTGAAGCTGGTAGGTAGTCGGTGGAGCTGTCGATGCACCTCGTTCCATCGTATGTCTTACTTTCTCGTCCAAACTGAAGACTCTACGGAAAACCATATTTTTGATTAATAACATACTGGTCAATAAGTCTACTTCTCTCTCCCTCTCTCTACAATTATAGAAACGATCAAAGAGATGAAGGATTACAACACTAGGAGTGTTTGCTAGTCTCTGATAGTGGTTAACTTCCGTAGAGCTTAACTTTCGCAAGGTTAAAGATGATTTTTTCTTACAAGTAAACTTGTGAAACGAGATCTCATAACCCTAAATACTCTCGAAAAACTCAAAAATTCCAAGTCCACTACATCTGACATTCACCTATCCGCAGTGTAAGGTGTGAAAGTGTTTATACGTTGTTGGATGAGACTTATGTGACAATTTCTAACAAGAATTACATATGAAAATACGCACTGACCTATTAGCATTATTATTACTATTAATGGATGAAAGTTGTTGAGAGCAAGAAGTCTCCGCAGGTGGTTCCATGCACACATGCGCCAACTATAAATCTATCAACAACCAAATGAGAAGCGTAATTTGCTGTCACCTCTGTTATATCGGTGCTGTACTATTTCTAGTAGCATTCAAAACCTGCAAACGATATACTCAATTGACACAATCATCACCGAATGTGCAGTAAATGCTGTATGATTGATCTAACAAATAATTTAAAAGTTGATTTCATAAACATTTGCAAGAGAATTATTGTGAAAATATCTTAATAAAGCGGAATCACTGGCGATATAATATACCACCTCGCTCAAACAGTAAACGAGTAAACCTTTTGAATCTTATTTGCACTCTTAAACATGATATGATTGCTAATCACATTACGAAGATAAGCGACACCCTCAGAACCACTCAGCAACAACTCGAAATAAACACTAGAAATGTAACACTACAAACGGAATAATGCTGCTATGTATACTGAGTGAAAAATTAACGTCCCTTATCAAACGACGTAAAATCTACTCTCAGATGCAGCGTTTTATCACTGACAACATTGGAGATAGTAGCACTTTATCATCACCACACTAACATGATAAGGTGAGGGTCGTCGAACTTCACCAAAGAGATAACGATTACTACACTAGGATAATAACTGCTTATCACTACAGTTGAATGATAAAGTTGGTGAATTTAGCAGACAATAACTTAACAGGAAGCAAGTGGATCAATCTAAACACTACTTACAGCTTATCAAGGATCATTTAATACCAAATTGTATGTTTTTGGAAAACATGAACATAACACAAACATTCCTAACATCAAACCTAAACTATATAGTTATGATGGCCCCTGTCATGTATACAGTCTCTCGGGCATGTTTCATACCGTCAGACTTTCAGGCCATTCTTTGTCACGTGTGCATGAAAGATTCAGTCAGATCTTGACGTCCGAGAAATCAACAGCCTAATAAAATAACGAAAATGCTTCCTAAATGCACTGAATGCACCCTGACCCCACCCTGGCAACGTCACGCAGTGCAGCTTGCAAATGCACTTAGTGCACTCTAACAACCTTGTGCTCTCCCTTACTGCAGCCACTCTCAACTGTTGCAAACTCTGAACAGTCTCTTTGCAAGGAAGACATGTACAGCAGAGTGCTGAATGTTTGCCAGGACAATTAAGCAACCGCACGGAAGACGAAATCGCTATACGCATCAAACGGTAACTGCGGTAGCGTGTTCCGTGTAGGTACAAAGATAGGGCGGCAATGTCGTCTAGAGTTAAGTTACTTTCTAGTTAGTAGAGAGGTCTGTCCAATTTGGTAAGAAGGCAATCATCTGAGAACATATAGACTATCTTACTTCACTTAATGCCTATGCAGATTTAATTGCCATTATTGCAAAATATGATTGTCTTCACCAGAAATTGAAACTGCGTTAAGCTTTGCGCTGCTTCAGGCGCAATCATGACATAAAGGACTAATAGACCCGTTTCGCCCAACTTCTCAGGATCTCTGGTAAAATTTATCCAACTCATATAATCAACAACCGTTCCAAACAAAGATCCATGAGTGACAAAAAGTTTTCATTTCGTGCCGGCAGAGTGACACAGGCGTGCGTAGTCAAAATGACGGCACACTTTCAATAGCGGTTTTCAATGCAACTTCGAGTCCTTACTCCATGTTATCATTGAGTTTTACCGTTTGGCTACGCTTCCCACAATTTAAACCTTTCCTGTGTGTCAGTGGCATTGCGTAATTCGTTTACTTGAATTTGTTCTTTGATATATAAAAGTTAGCTTATTTACTATTTTTTTTTTTAGCTCGCGGAAGATTTTAAGTTTGCATTGAATAAGCAGGGATTGAATTCCGAACTTGTCTTTTATATATTGACTTCAGAAGCTTTTACCATTCTTTAAGTTGAACCTTTGATTTCTTTTTCCTTTTTCCAAACCACTTCTCTATATGTACAGTAACGCTGTTCGGGAATTTGTGATGTGGAATATATAACCGACAACTAGTAAGCCAGTCGAGCGAGTGACGAGCAAAGCAAATGTTATCATCTGTGTAAAAGATATATTGAAAACTCTCAGTGACATAACAGTTCACTTTCCACGACTGTGCATTGTATAAGATTTGAGCATTTGATGAAGCTTTTATAGCTAATGTTTTAACTTTTTGTGAGTTGTTTGAGATGTGGCTTACAAATTGTAGGTTAAAATTTCTTCTGAAGAGATGTCATCAGTAGCATCTCTCCAAGGATATGATTTATCAACTAATCTGGCTGAACTGCCGATCGGTTTGCATTGGCGTCTTGCCAGTTCTTTGAATTTTCAAACTGTGTGGATGAAAGTGATCGGCGATTCGACGAGCAGTCCATTCAGTTTAAGGTAAATGTTTGATTTGATTTATGCCGTTATTATTTGCAAACTTGCTGTGTTGCTGACCTAATCAAATTATGAAGATAAGTTGATGCATGCATATCTGTTTTGCATTCCTTTAAAGATTGCTTGTCCATTTTACTTAAAAAAGCAGAAGACAAAAAGAAAAAGAAAGTCAACATATATCAGGAATATATTTGTGCAAATATTGATGAGAAATCATGGGGACACCATCTCTTCTTTTTGTGTCTCATTTAACACGCCAGGATTTTCTGAAAATTTGAGAGTGGCTTTATATTCCATTTAACTGAAATAAACCTTAGCAGTGTTCAGACTACAAGCCTCATGCAAGAATAAAACGGGTTTCTCATGATAAACAGAGTTGAGATATTCGTGAAATATCAAAAATGATATTATGAGTTGGAACGTAAAAGAATTTTAGGATATGACAGTTTTCTTTATTTTTATTTATTTTTGGTTGCTGGCACTACTGAGTAACTGATATCTTAGATCATAATATATCGTTACGAAAGCAAAATTGATTTTCTGAGGATTATGAGTAGGCTTCATCACATCATGCAGATTTTCTTACTATCATATCCTGAATTCCTCTCAGGGAAGTTTACTTTTGGAAGAAAAGATTTGTAAAGGCGAAACTAGATTAAAAGTGAATCAAGACATCACAGAGAGGAAAAGTGGAATTGGTAAAAGCACGATCGAGGAAGCATAATTCCTTTTTATCTGGATGGCAATGCAAATATCGAGTTTGGAAGAAACATTAGATATTTAAGGGAGAGATAAATGAGGCTCTTTTCGTTCAGGTGTAAAGGAGAAAGAGATATAATGATTATCGCTTAAAGGAAAAAAGACAGCTAATCTGTTTCTTTTTTCTGGGAAAAAAAAATTGTAGTTGGGAATGTTCGACCAAATCAACTGCAATTTTAATTTCATCGTGATGGAAGTGTTTGATTTTCACTGTAGGTTGTGGGTAGGATGGACCGATCATGCTTTCCGTAAATGAAATAATTAACTATATTATTTAGCAAGATGAATTTGAGTAATTTCGGATGGGAAGACAATAAGAAAATTGCGAAAATCTTTATAATGGGACTTTCTTTTTTTAGTGTTTCCGAATATGACCGTATTTTACGATCCGAAAATCAAGGCTCATCTCTTTTATACTTGTGGGGCAATCGTGGACAGAATGTAAGACATTTGCTGCTGAGACTTCAATCATTTTCGAAAATGCACGGGACATCTTTAGATGGACCCCAATTAGCACTGAGACGCAAATTCGGTAAGTTTTGATTACAGTAACAACAAAGACTTAGATTATAGTACGTTGTATGTTTTGTCGACACAAAATAATGGAAGTTCTTCAGTTATCTATCACAGTATATAATGTAGAATGATATTAGAAATATTTATACAACTCAAATATTTAGAATTTTTAAAGTGTTACTTGTTTCCAGTGCCAGTAAAATGGTCAGCTGATGAACAGATTACGGTTAAAGTAATAGGTGCTGATAATTGTATGTTGCAACTTTTCTGCCATGCTCGTGGTTTTCCTTGGCCTCATTTTCAATGGATGGAAAATGATAAGGATATAGATTGTTCAAACGGAAAAGCACTAATCATTTCTAGGTTTCTTGTTGCTTTGTATCTTGTCGAAATACTGCAGGAATTTTTACCTTTAAAATTTGAAAATGATATTCAAAACAAAAGCAGAATAATAGTGGCTTCAAAAGAAAGATGCAAAGATAAGATGAGAGAAAAAAAGATTTCTAATTATGAGTTGACACGTTCAGATGCAAGTGTCGAAAAGGACTGATGTATAGGTGTAGAATATGGAATGAGATTGAGGAGGGTTTCGAATATTCAACATTTTATCGGAGACCGGGAAAATTATTTCACTCAAAATTAATAACGAACCCAGTGGACTTATCATTATTCATAACTGCCAATGTAACAGGTATCAGTTTAGTATAAATGCGGCAAAATGATTTTTTCTTTAAAGTAATTTTCACACATCATCCAAATTTTGCACTTCATATTTGAATCTCTTTTATTCTCTAGTAGTTTTAGTTCTGAATTTGACAGTCACTGGGTGCATTCATGAATGATTTTGCATGGTTTTTCTCTTGCAGTAGACTCTTGCGAACGGTGTAGCACGTATAAGAATTTGAATTTATCGACCGATTTCTTCAGAACTGTGCAAAATGAAGGCAATATAGGTCTTCTTTCTCAAATCTTTACTGTTTTTTTTTTTTTCTAAATTTAATTGATTTGCTCAAACTCGACATTTATTTATTGAAAATTTCATTAAATTTTATTTACATGAAGTATTCTTTGTTCATTAGTTACTATTTTTAGGTGGATGGAACGCAGAATTGATTGCTACGGATAAGGTTGCATTAATTATAGGTAACTGCAATTACATCAATCTTCCAAGTTTAGTTACGCCTCACTGTGACGCTGAAATGTTTGCAGAATCCTTGCAAAATCTTGGGTAAGTGCTTTATCAGCACTTGTTTTTGTCAATGGTTCGAAAATTATAGATGGTTAGGATTTAGTATTGAAAATTTCAGGTCTTATTTTTAAGCAAAAAAGAAGAAACAAATTATTGTTAAATGTTCCTCTTGGATCTTAAGTTGATTCCATTTACATGGAAATGATTTACAGTTTCAAAACTGTTGCGCTTGGAGATTTAAATCTTGCCGAAATGCACTTCTTTATCAAAGAGTATCGCAAACTTCTTGGTGACGGGGTGTATGGTGAGGTTTTTTTTTTCTTTATTTTCGCAGATTGTATTATATCTCTGCTCATAATTTGTGACGTCTAATTCTTTAGCTGTGTTTTACTTCGTTGGTCATGGTTTTGAGAAAAATGGAAAAAATTATTTATTGGCCATAGATGCACCAAGTGTTGACTGCAAAATGACTGAATGTATTTCTGTTGAGTGGGTTCTATCTGTTTTCGAAGATTCACATCCAGCTTTAAATCTAATACTCCTCGATGTATGTCGGAAAAATGTGAAGTACGTGCATAGCTTATGCTTACCTAAATTTGTCATAAATGCATTATATTATTTGTAACTTAAATACTGTGTGAATGATCCACGAATATTCGTTTAATGGAGAGAAATAAAAAATTAGATTTATCATGGCGAACAAAGTTTTCAGTTAAATAAATTTTAGAGGCTATTTAAACATGGATTAAAGGAGAAGAGAAAACTTTCCAGTTCTTTAGATGCGTTGGATGTCTAGATGATGCAGATATCGAGCAAATACCAAAGATAGCGCGCAATACTGTTTGTGGATATGCAACGTAATTTTTACGTTTGGAAAAATATTTTTCTGAAAAGGACTCTAAGAAAGAAATGTTTTAATTTTGCCAATAACTTTCAGTAGCAGCGGAGTTAGTGCTTTTGAAGTACATGGAGAAAGGAATGGTGTCTTCATGAAGCATTTATTACAACATATAGCTGATGAAGCAACAGTTCTTGAAATGCTAACGAAGACATTCCAAGGTAATTTCCATTAAATAGGAAATGCATGCCATCAAAATGAAGTTTATTTAACCGTTTTAATGGATTTTTTCTTATTCCATTCCATATCATTGATGTAATAAGAAACTAGCTACTTTGGCCTTGGTAGTAACACAAAGGATTAAAACAATTTTATCACAAAGGATAAAATTTATTATTATTTAGTATTCTCTCCTCATTTGTATTAATTCATTACTGACTGGTAGTTCTAAATAATTTTTATCAAAATAAACAAGTATGCTGATCAAAAATTTAGTGCACTAGTATATCTATCACTCTAAGACTATTGATTTGACCTTAAGTAATGACCGATTGACACCTTAAGAAAATGGCCTATTATTTCTTCCGTTACATTTTTCCAATAAAGGTTTTAATTCGTAGTTTTTTTTTTTTTTTTTTTTTTTTTTAGAAATCTCAAATGATACTAGGATTTGTGATGTACAGATTCCGGAACTTAAGTCAAATTTGGTTTTACCACGTGGACTACGAGATCCGCTTATTTGTTATGGTCATACGGCATCTTTCAATTGCCATACTCTTTACTGGCGCTATATGCACGGTAATAGATTTATGATTATGTTTTTTTTTTTTTTTTTTTTTTTGCGATACAGTACTGTTTGCATCTTTCGTAACTTTGTGCACTGAGTTTCCTTTCTTTCATTTTCTGAAAGTAAACGACGTAAAATAGAAAACAAGATATCCCATATTATTTCCACTTAATATTTCTTCCTTCATTAATAAATATTTGTTTGCAGTTACTGTGTAAAAGTCACATACTTATTTAAAGAGTAGGTTTTAAAAAATTGGTCATTTAAGCTGATTATTTGTTACAGAGTTGCCGAGTCCGATTAATGTACAGTTTACGGATCAAAACATGCTTGTTATCATTTGGTATGACTATGTTGGGCATTTTACAAACAAAGTGTATATATTTACTAGTGTTAATGATCTTTCTGATAAAAATAGTGCGGGAGGTTTGAAGCCATTGCCTACCAAATTTTCGCATGTTGCTCATTTACATTTTCCCAAGGTTTGTTTTTAACATTTTAAGCATGAAATAGGATTAAAAACTCAAGTGATTTTTGAACTTTTACAAATATTTCTCACTTTTACTTCTGTTGAAGAATTATTGCAAAAGCTCAGGAATGACTGAAGTTTTTTTATGATTTGAATTTGAAATGATAATTAAGATTTCTAAAGAAATAGTTGCTGCAATTGAAGTCTTGTTGCATTATCGCCTATTGGACTTTGATTTCTTGGATTTTGTTTTGTCTTTCACATAATCTATTGGTGCAAGGAATTTCAGCATGTCGATGTGTCGGCAGAGAGGATAATAGAAGATGGTAATGATGGTGTTTCAATATCTGTAATGCTATCAAATTTGCAGCGTTTAAAAGTAGGTGTTCATATATTATTATTTTTTTAAGGGAACTGTTTTTATTCAAGTATGATTAATAGAAAATTTAATAAAAATTGGTTTTACAGCGCCTTTAGAATATGCTATGGAAATAGCGAAAAAAGTGAGTGTAATGTTCAGAATACTTCCTAGTGGATTTAGTTTATGTTATTTGGAAGTATAACTAACAAAGATTTTAATGCTGTACTTTGAATGATCTTCATGGTTGATGAAATTGATGAAGGAGTGATAAAACGCACTTGCTCGTAAATTGTCAAGAAGATCCAGTAGCTTTAAAAGAAGTTATAAGGTTTTATTTTTCCTGGATTTTCAAAATATTTGTAGGGAACCGTATTGTTCTCGGTAGATCTTGCTAGTCGGAAAGATGACGTTGTTATAGCATCGAAAAGTAATTTGTCACTGGGTGATGTGTTGGTTACAAGGATTTATAGAGTAGAATGATTGAATTGTTTTTGTTACGAAATTAATAAAAATTTGGTTATGTTTTATGTAATGATGTTACTGTCCAGATCTTCATTTTTATCTTGTTAAGCGACATTTTGTATAATCAAAAATTAAATAAACTTGGTCTGTAAATGTAGAGTCAAAAATTTTACAGTGACCACTAGCGAAAACTTTATGCAACAGTGAAATAAAATGTTAGCTTGCAGGAATCGAACTATCGTACAATTCAAGTAGGATCTTTCGTACAGCTCAAGTACTTTACGCTGTTAATAGAAGCTTAGCAAATAAAGGTAGGAGTACTGAGTTTATCTTCTCCAAATCATTTTTATCACTTTATTATCTCTACTTCGTTTATGATTTGATGCCGTTGTCGTCGAAAGATTATAATCTCGCATTCTATCATTTCAAATATAGTCAAGGAAAGATTCTTCGCTCTCTTCATTTCTTTTATCCTGCTATAGTCTGCTAACTTTCTGCACTGATTGGTCATTATCTCACACAATATAGAAATAGCTTGTAGTAAAATTCTTCAACGAAATGACGACAGGACAAAAGGAACTATTGAATCCGCTCAGACGAAATACCGAATTTTGAAATCTGAGGAGAAATTGGCTAAAACAAACGACCTTAAAAGTGTGTATGACTCAGTGAAACAGAAAAATATTGAAATGCAGTGCATAACAGGATTTTAAAAAAAGCTGAAAGATGCCAATGCCAAAATATTTGTACAAGACAAAAGCTAATTTGTAGAGCAAGTTGGTCTCCGATGAACATGAGAAGGATGATAATATTGATGACCATGATAGTAGTAATGGTTGCTTGGTAACAACTGTAATGAATTTTTTTATAAATGTGATATAAAAGAAAATCCTGGTATTGAAACGCATTTAATATCATGAAAACAATTACCGAAATGATTTTCCCATTCCATCTTTGATCCTTGTGAAGTATAAGAGAAATAAGTAATGTTACGCATTTGACTCCATTAAAATATTACAAATGACAAGAAAGGAAATACAAAGCATAAGGCCAAGAAATCTTGATGAAAATTGCAATGATTTTTTGACTTTGAGAATGGTTCCATGAAGAGTGAATTAAGGAAGCACTAGCTGAATGCTTAGTTAACAGGTAGTTAATTAAATGTCGTTGTGAATTGTCATGTAAATGATGCAAAAAGAAGTTTGGAGAATCATTTTCATATAAACAAGATAGTAGCAAATGCAGTGCAATTATTTCGAAAGCCGTTAAGTTACATACATTTGCTACTTCATTTTTTGCATAACTTCAAATAATAAATGAAAGAATTTTGGGCGAAGCAAATTTTGATTTGAAGTAAACATTTTCGCAATTAAGTCACATTCTTGAGTCTGAAAATTCATAAATTTTTATAAAAAAGATAATTTAAGTTAAATCAACATTTGTATTATTTAGAAGACTCAACGGTTGTTTGCTTCGGTGTTGCACGAGATTTTAATATACCTAGAAGAAAATGTCTTCACATTGGGATTCATCTAGTTCTTTTAGAGCTTCTACTCAATTTTCTGTAAATGATTGCTATCCAATTTCCGAATAATTTTTTAAAAAATATATGAAGTTAAGCTAAAAACACTTTGTAATTATTTGCCTTTTTAATTATGCAGCTGTTATCGTAATGATGTAGATGGAAAGGATTTGTAGCAGCAGAAACTGCCAGTAAGTAGAGCGTCACCAAACCAATTTTATAGTTTGAATTTACTTAATATATTCTCAAATAAATCACAAAAGTCAGAGTAATAACGGTTCTCGTGGTGAATTGCCTGATGATCTGGAAACAGCACGAGCGATCATCGATAGTTTAACACGACAATTAAGGGTGCTTCACACTTTTGCATTGTTATACTAGTGCATCTATCTTCTAATCAGAACAATGAGTTCCTCATGAAAGATTATTTTCTGAAGTTTCCTCATTTTCTTTGTTAGAATGCTGAAAAAGCAAGTTGCAGATTCATGACGATGTAACCTCGAATTTGTTGCTTCTTCAGAAAAGAATCCAGCACACTCACCGAAGGACACAAGATGCCATGCGCATGGTTCAGTTCAACTTTACTTAATTTCTCCATTTCTCAAATGCATAGAAGTGTCTGAGCGATAAGAAATACAGAATCACGGAAATTATTCTTGTGATTGGTGTCATCTGACTTTCAAAACACACAGCACGTATTAGCTCTCGACTGACTGTGATCGATTTATGCAATTTGCACTAAATATTTGATATAATCACGATATTCAGTAATTGATGTAATCGGGAATGATCATGTGATGAGATGAGATAATAATGTGATAGGACGAGAAATTCAACTGAATTTATACGATCAGATGATTCCTGTGGTCTAGAAATTAAAAAAAAATTTTTTTTTCATCACTAGATGCATTCACTGCCTTTGAAGCTTGAAGATCGTCTAGACAATATTGAAGCAACATGGACCAAAGAATTAGAAGATCAACACAAACGTTGGCTCGACAAATACAATCGGTTGATGAGAGAAGCAGAAAACACTCGTCTTTTGTACATTTATTAGTTAAAAGCAAAAGTCAAATTCCATGAATTTAATTTTAAAATGACAATTTGCTGAGAATTTCTCATATATATATATAACATCCTTTTTAAAGATATGAAAAATTCTGAAAAATTTCGAAGATCTCATAGCTTATTTTTATTATTTCATAGGCACGTGTTCTTAAGATTTCTCTATCAGATTATTGGGAAGGATAATAGATTTATCATCGATTTAAATATTGCATATTGCATAATGATCAAACTATTTAATTATATTGTTTCTTATCAAAATGTAGCATAGAAAAGATGCAAATAAAAATGTTTCCTTGCCCATTCGTACTTTTCTATTTTGAAAATTTCAGAAATAAAGAAACATCTAAAGCTTCAGCAAAACATACTAATAAGACTGTGAAATTTTCAAAACAACAGCTTGAAAATCTCAATCGTCGTGCTATGATGATCGATGAAGGAATCAACGAACTAGAAAAAGTTGCAAGTTGTACCAAAAACTTTGACGGAAAGCTTCATCTTGACAAGCAGAAGATCAGAGATATCGATGCTCGAGTAAATTTAACCTTACAACGTTAATCAAAAGATTTGGTACTTCAGACCGTTTTACTTTTGACCGTGCACTTGTGTCTTACGCGTGACTAGTTAGGAATTATGTGTTCATTTCAACAACATATCAAATGATTACTGATTTCTTTTTTAAATTAAAATTTTCTTATTTACTATACATTATATTATATTATATTATATTAGTTGAAAACATTAACAAAGAAAGAGCAAAAGTTGAATGATGAGCTCACCAAGCAGATGAATATTCATTTTGGCAGCAAGCCTTTCGCCCAAATGACAAATGAACAATCCGAGAAAAGCTTTTATGGCGTTTGTGAAGTAATTGATGGTTACCGAAAAGTACTGCTTTTAAAAGTATTATTCATAAAAGAGAAAAGTGTTGGAGTAAAATAAGTTAGGCATACATGTGAATTTTGTCAATTCTTGTTCTTTTTTGTTCCGTTTCTACTGTTAAACTATAGACAATTGAAAATTTGGACAAAGCATTACGAGCAATGGAGCAAATTAGGAATGTATCAGTAGCGAAAAGCAAAGTTAATAGCACAATTCAAAGTACACCATCGGTAGATGAAATTGATGAAATTACAGTTCTTATGAGACGTTTCCTTGCCAAATTGCGAGTTCAGGTTTGATTTTTTTTTAAGGAACATCTTTTGATTTATATGAAATTCACACTCAATTAAGTAATTTTTAATCCTTTTCCTCCCTAAAGTTAGTTTTTTTTTGTTAATTTAAAAAAATTTTTACTAATTTAAAAAACTTTTCTCCTCCTTAAAGTTTGTATGAGTATATTCACTCATTGAATGGAATAGAATTTAAAAATTTCTAGATGCAGGGAAATAAATGATTTCAGCTAGCATCAGTTCATTTATATAGCAAACCAGCTTTGAGTCCTAAGTTGGATACCGGTAAGGTAAGTTTACTTTTAAAGGTTAAGTACGTCAATATACCTGAAAATATTCGAATATTTGTGTACTGATGTATTTCTTTACAACTCAATGAAGCATATAATCTTTGCTTAAGTTAATTGATTGATGCTTAAATATCAATTGATTAAGTTGAACAAATGTATATGCAATCGTAGAATGGTAAGGGTGTATTGTGAAATATTAAGTGTACGGCAGTAATATGTGCACAGCTTAGTGAAGATTTGTTCTGAATGAAATATAAGGATCAATTCAAAACAGAGATCTTTCATGGAAAAGCTTTTTGAACATGCCTTTATCATTTTTCGAGAGATCCTTACCAATCTGATATTATTCATTATTCATTTGATTTTAAGTCAGGAAACTTGATAGAGACAACGACTGGTTTTGAATCATCAAATCCTGATACCAGTTCTGATTTTGGTACAATTTCGCTCAGTACTTCACAACCTCTGTCGATTTTAAGAATTTTTACAGTGCAAATTATGAATTGAAGAATTGCTGAAACTCTTTTAATTGAAAGTGCCCTTTTTAACTGAAATTAATTATTGGAATCATCAAAATTGCTAACAGGACCGTCAACTTCGTCTGCACATTCGCAATTTATGATTTTGAAATCAGAATTTGGAAGTGAAGGAACGATTACAGCTAAAGGAAAATCTGAGAAAACCTCAAATAATAAAACGAAATGAAAAATCATGCCATCTTTCAGTTTTCTTAACTTTAATTCTTCCTGTATCTTATCCCATTGATAAAAATATTGCATTTTTTCATTTCATCTCCGTTTAATTGACTGCCAACTTCATTTTGATCAATGCTGTCGTTTAACTAAAGAAGACATGGCCATGTATTAGCAGATTAGCCATCCTTATCTTGTCGAAGTCTAAAACTGAGCAAATAATTGTATTGGACGTGTCATATCATAGTATCAATACAAAAACGATAATAATATGAAAGGGAATAACAAAAACTGGGAATGGTAGCATGAAAATATTCGATTGTTTATTATTACACGATAAAATGAAGAAGAAAAAGACAAATGATTAAAAGACTATAATCCATGCAAAGGAATTGAGAAGTGATCCAACTGATATTACATTACCACTATCTTATTGAACTATTTCTATTTAATATCAAATTTAGTGGTTGAATATTTGACGTATTCTAATCTGAATGAACTAGAAGACATCATCCTATCAAATTTCAAAAGAATCAGTGCTAACTCAAAAATATTCCAGTAACTTGCGATTCTTCATCCCTTCTTCCTGGCTCACCCGTGCTGATAATAAGGAATCCGATAGTACAGATAATATGGAATAAAACAATAACTTAATGTTTGGAATGAATGCAAATGAAAGTAGATTGATCTAAACTGATTGCGGACAGACGAAAACAATAAATTTTGACCTATATCTTCAAAGTTCAGAAATTATGGAAATTGTGTTAATAAAAAACTAATGAATGATGGAACTTGTTTCATTTGCTTCATTTAAAAATCATCTCTTCAGCTCTAATAGAATTAATTTTTTTTTTTTGTGTGTGTGAAATAATGTTATAGGAAGACAAATGAACTGATGAGAATGAGATGTTAATAAATAGACTTTGTAGTTTCTGTAGTTATACGAAACACCGGACGCATTCTAGTAAAACCGGTTCATCGCCATTCACTTCTATTGGTGTCTCCTGAGGACACTCTTGTTGGTCTTTCATCGATGTTAATGAACACTGAAAATGTTCCGCTATAATTGACAAAAGCGGGTTGTTACATAATTTCATGAATTATAAAAATTGAAGGTCCTTAACAAGTAAATTCAATTAATGATTTTTAATTTGAAGAGCAAATTCCAAAATGCTTACGAGATTGGATCTATGGTCATACTGAGCAGCAGTGCAGTTATGTTTCCAGCATATCTCACCACATTGTCCAATGGAAAGTGCTGGTTCCACTGTTACTGCCTGCCGTATCCTCGTTAATTCTGTCACCATGCTGATGGAATAATGGCATTCTGAAAGGACCGACAATAATTTTCAGCATTTCACCTTTAAGATTTACAAAACCAGCATCGAATTAATGCAGGTCTCAGGAACCTTGGCTATTTGGTAAAAGTTAAAACTGTTTCATTATTATGAACACGAAGAGAAATAATACATACTGGTACATTTCAAGCAACTGATAACAAGTGTTGATAAATCGGATTTATGCTGCGGAATAAATTTCTGCTCTGGTGAGCAAATAGCAGAATCAGCTGTCAACATGCATACTGCATTTGTTGACTCATCATCCTGGCTTGGCTTATATACTGCGAGAACACAGTTTGCCTTCAAATGATTCATATTTAAGAATGTAACTGTCTTTGAAGAAATTTCTCAACAGATATGATAATGACAGTATTGTAAAGTGATGTATATTCACAATCTCTACTTAGGGAAAAATTCAGTGCTGCAGTTTTCTCGACAAATAAAGCAATAATCATATATTTTTCTAAACAACTTGCACAAATACTTAGAATTTTACAGTTTCGTAGCATTTCATCGCGCATGCGGCCGGTGATTCTATCATAATCTTACTAGTGACGTTTAGCTGTGAGAGGTCTTCCATTTCTGATATTTCGAATTCAACTCGACCAAGACATCTAGCAGTTCCTACAATAACTATTTCTGTTATTTTTTTTTTTTCTCGGAGCCTCGAAATTATTTCTAACAGTTTAAACTCAGTGTTGTTGTGGGTGATGAACATATCCAATTTTCCTTTACTAAGCCTACACTATTTGCGAAAAACACACTTAAAGACAAATCTTCGATTATTTTTTGATAAAACCACTGACTAAACCATCATGCAAAACTTATCACAATTTTTTATAAAAAAACAAAACTTCTAAGAAAAAAAAAAAAAAAAAAAACTTCTAGGAAAGGAAAAGCCATAATCTTTAGGCTCTGATGAAATTTAAAATGCAAAAATGCATTGAAACTTTATCGAAGACTTCTCAAAAGCATAAATAATTATCAGCAAGTAATATCTAAGACTTTGTATGTGAATTTACCATCAACAAGTCTTGTTTTAGCGCTATTGTGAAGAGAATTTCCAATGAAATCTTCCTGGAATTGATTAATTGGAACATCGGTCGTCATTATTTGCTCATCTGCATCCTTTGTTAAGTTCACATCATCAACGATAAATGCAACTTCAAGAATATACAACATTTTCAATTTGTTTTAAACATTTTGGATTTAAACTGCTCGTTTTGAAACTAACTTCAAAAGAAACTTTAATCACTATAATAATTTCTTATTCCTTCACATCCCATAGATGACTAAGAAAGAATCAGTCGCTAGAATCAGCGGGTTACGTTTCTGTATCAATGGTTTTCAAGGGTCTAATAAGCAATACGCTATAAAAATTGCTTTCGACTAATTTTCAATTGAAAATTAGTGAATATATTCGCTAGCTCTATTGCTCTAATTATAAGCCTTAATTTCAAATTTGAAGTAAAAATTTTCGATTAAAAATTGTTTCTTCTAATAAATCAAAATACCATTTTCTTTTCCGTTGCGTCCAATCACTTCTTCGATTTTCGAATTTTGACTCAAAACACTGATTAAATCTGAAACCGCTTGTACGGGCGGTTCTGTTGTCATATGTTCACCTAGAGTTGGCTTATGATTATGTTATATCGCGATTACTTACAAGTATCAAAAGAACAAAAAATTAAAAATTTGTACGACTGCATGAGACAATATAGTATGAATAAGATTTAGCTTCTCTTGCCTTAAAATTAATACATACTAACCTTGGATTACCAGCTTATTGTTATTAGATGAATCCTTGGCTACTTCAGCTATAATTTCATCTTCTCCTTCCACTTTCTTAATCGCTTCTTCCTGAATCGCTGCATCTGCCACCGCTGGCTTACTACCAGTTACCAAAATATCTTTTGACTGAGCAACATTTTTGATGACAGCATTCGCATTCGTTTGTACAAATGGCTGCTCCGTAATTGAATTTGAAACCGATTTAGAGAACAAATCTTCATCATCATTATTTCCTTCCTTAGATATCTTTTCCAGAATTCTGAATGTTACTTCGGTATTTCCTTCGTCACTCGTAGAAGTGCTTGTTTCTTCTGCAATAAATGTTGCTTTGCTAATTGTTTCAGCAGTTGTTGCATTAGTTATATCTGATAACGCAGCATCTGCTTCAATATTTGATTCCATTAATGCAGTTTCTTCAACAGTGGATGAATTAATATCTGAGTGAAACGTTCCTTTAAAATTAGCTGAAGTTGCTTCAATGTGTGATTCTATGATTGCATTCTTCGATGCAATAGTTGATACAATTTCATGAGTTTCTGTACTCCACTCTTCCGGTATTCCAATTGTTTCTTTTATATCAGTTTCTAAGACATTACGTGAAATGTTTGCAACAATGCTGGCTACAGCTCCAACGATGTCATCTGTCACTTCGCTATGAAGTATTGGAATAACAGTGATCTCTGCTGAAACCGTTGTTGGTTCAACTTCCTCTTGAAATTCGACAGTAGTTCCTTCCTTTTGATCTTTCCATTCTCCAGAGTTAATCATGCTTGTTTGAGGAATGGTAGCTGAACCCTTAGCAATAGTAGAAACAACACTGCTTCCAGAAATTTCTTCAGTAATGTTTAACAATTCCGAACTATCAGTGGGAACATTTAACGGTGTTTGTAAAGTCAACGAAATTAGAAGATCAGGTTGAACTGTAGTATCTAATTCATTATTACCGCTTGTTTCTGCAAATGTTTCCATGATGTCAGTTGCAGTTGAAGCTGTTTCCGCTTCTAAATGTTTTGTCGATGACTTCACCGACGATTGTAAAATCGACAATCTTGAAGCCTTTTCTTCCACAGTAGCAACAATAGGAGAGGTATCGAACTCTCCTTCAGATTCTTTACTTTTAACTTCCTGTTGTTTAGTTTCTGCTTCGAATAAACTTCCATTTCCAAAAGATGGTGGCGTAACAAACGGTATTTTCTCATCCCCTTTTATAGTACTTTCCAGCCGTGCTGATGGTTCGGGTACC